CTGCTCTGAAACTGACACGGTGCCTATACCAACACTTCAGATTCCCCAATACCTTCACTCCTTTATTATCCAAAAAATCGTGCTGGTTTAATGACTGAAAAAAAAAAGACTAGCGGCACAAAATTTCCCCCATGTTCCCAGGGGGAAAAACAAATCCAGATTCTTACTTTCCATTTCCAGACAATAACCTTACTCGGTAACGATATAAAGACAAGAAGATGGAGATTCAGTGACAGACCTTCACATCCAGGACCAGCTCATTCCCCGACGCATCCTCCCCCGCGTCCGCGCCTTGTCCTCCTCCTCCTCCCGCGCCGCCGAGCTTACTTCCATTTCCATCCGGAAAGATGGAGATCGCCATAGGGGGTCGCCGGGAGGACGGGGGGTGGCCGCCGGCGGCGCGGGTCTGGACTCTGGAGTTGGGAGGCGGAGGCGGGTGCGCGGCGGCGAAGGGGATGCGGGGACGGGGGTGGAGGAAGATGGCTTCAGCAGCACGCAACCCAACGTTTCCCCCAAATTTTGACAGTATGAAAATTCTTATTTCATCAGAAAAAAAAATGAATTTTTGGAGGGAAGAAGGTTCTGCGGAGGTTCTCCGGCTGCGCCTGCACCTGGGTCCCTTCTGCAGTCCCGCGGGCTCCCCGGCCAGGATTCAGGACATGAACACGGTGAACTCACCAAGAACTCAGAAGTTCAACGATGGAATATACTAGGCAACGAACGAACAACTCAAAGATGACTACACTAGGTCCTGATCGTGATCATATCACTTCAAAAATGGTCCAAGTAATACTATGATATTCCACTAGTTTTGCATCCCACCTCTCCTACCAGTTCACCACCCCTACTAATCCATCATTCACATCGTACATGAGTCCATAACCATAAGAATAAAGTACAGTACTAAACATCTTAGTTGCTCTCCTATATGGGGACAAAATTATATTAAGCCCCTTTGGCACGGCTCATTCAAAACGGTTTTACCGGTGAAGCCAAAGCCGGTGAAGCCAGAAAAACTGTCTTTTTTCGGCTTCTAGTTCATTTTAACCCCGGCTTACAAAACGGCTTCACGCTACAGTGCCTCGATTTACGCAAAATAGATGAAGTCGAAGCCCTAAAACTGCCTCCATCTCTGGAAAGGAAGAGGAGAGAAAGACAAAGACCGGACTACTTACGTCGACAGGCGAGGGACCCTGGGTGGGGCTGCAGGGGGCAGGAGTTGGAGTTTTATTTGAGTCCCGCACCACACCGGGCGACGTAACCTTTAGGGACGAAAACGATCAGATCGATAGGAGGCCAAATCACTTTCACTTTTACATTTTTTTCTCGAAAATAGAATCGATGCGATATTGTCGGAAACAAATACGGCGCCGATATTCCTATAATTTCGAAAACGATAGAAGTTGATCAGAAAATACGTCGATAACGATCAGAATCCATAAGAACGATATCTAAAAAACGATAAACGCGTCAAACCGCAGTAAGTGATTGGCTGATTGCTTTCTTGTTCCTGTACAGATGAAATACTTCCGTATAGATAGTTCCTTTCCAAAAAATATGTGCTTGCGCGTGCAGATGGGTTCCTTTAAAAAAAATATTTACCTTATGTGTTTGTGTGTGCAGATGGTAATGCATTGTATAGTTATAAATTAGGATTCATTGATTAAAGGCCTTTGAATCGGTAATTACTGACGGTAAATTCCCGGTTAAATACAGTAATCTTCGAAAACGATTAAAAGAGGGCATAATTGTTTTCGCTTTCATTTCCGATTATTTTTACCGTTATCGTTTTCATTTTTTCGATTACCGCTACCGTTTCCGTTTAGGCCTGAAAATCGGGAAAAAAACTCGAAAACGATTTCCGAAAATCAGAAATTATCATTTTCGTTTTCATCCCTACCAGCGTTGCCTCTCTCTCCTGCTGCTGAAGCAAACTAGCAAAGGTATGCCACCGAAGCAATTTCCCCCCAGATCTCTAACCCTAACTTCCCTCTAGTTGTTCAATTTCTCCTCAAATTAGTTCAACTGATGTAGCTGTGTAGTTGTAATGTTATAGGCAGTGAGAATTAGATATGAATTAGTTCATTAGTTAAACTTATACAATATGTGACCTGTGATTTGTAGGATTTGTGATTTGTGAACTATGAAGAGAGATGAGGACATTGTATCTATGTTCCGGAAACATGCTGCAAAGAAACGTGCTTCTTCTTCAACTCCTGTTGTGGAAGAGCAAAATCAAGACGCATTATGCTATTTAGTAGTTGTTTATCGAATTACGAGGCAATTTTTATGATACTCTGCCGAATTGCTAAATGGATTTTACCGGTTTGCGTATAAAAATTTTGGTTCGGCATACCCTTACCAAAAATCATAGCTCCGCCACTGCACAGAACAGGGACATTGGACATGCTTGCGTGGTTGAGAGATAGAGTGAGGGAGGAAGACAGTACCTTCAGGGGGGGTAGTTCTCGGGCGCTTGCGTCCCCATGGCCGTCCGTCCGTCAGGGATGCTTCCTCGGCGGCGTCGACAATGGAGCAATGGTGGATCTAGAATTTTTACATAGGGTATGCCACACAAAAAAAAATTCACATGCAATTCGGTAAAAACCGTTTACCAATTCGGTAAACAATTGTAAAAGTTACAACATAATTTATTATGCTGGCATTAAATAACATAATAAATCTTAAATTTAGCAAATTACGATATAAATAGTTCAAATGCAATATTGGTAGTTTGAAATATAGGCATAAAAGCGACAATCATCCGACTTTTGTGTGATATGTCTTCTACTATTAATCCTGGCAAACTATGAACCAATCTCTAATCTAATGATGAGTGATCTTGCCTAATCTCCCTGATAAACAAATAATTATTAATAAAACAATTATGTACGTAAGTTTCTTATCTGCAAAATTGGATGATTCAAACACAACGCGACAAGACAACCAACTGCAGCGGCCAGCGGCGTAGAGGCGCACGGCGCAGCCGGCAGGCCTGCTTCTCGCGTGCATGCGGCCATGCGGGCTACGTTGCGTTCCGAAGCGGTGAAGCGTTGTTAGCCAAGTACTTGAGCCCAGGGTATGCCGGGGACCACCGGGCATACCCCCTGATGTAGGAAGACAGAGAGGCTGGGCTGTTGGGAAACCAGAGGAGGTGCAAGCAGGGGAGAGGGAGACAAAGCGGCCGGCCGGCTCGTCGTCTGCTTTATAGAGGCGCTCCCTCGAGTGCCCGGCATGTTGACCGTGGACTCGCACTCAGCAAGAGGCAGGTGTGGGAATTGGGGAAATGGCGATTCTGCTTTGCCCTGAGTCCCTGACGTCCTTCCGATCAGGATTGGATGGTATGGAGGGGACCCAATGCGGCGAGTCAACCTTGATTAGTAGACAAAAATGAACGCCTAAATTTATGACACCGTGTGTTTCTATATGACGCCTAAAAAATGAACGCCTAAATTTATGAAAAAAACCTTGATTGGATGGTATGGAGGGGACCCAGGAGTTAGAGTCGCCAGCTCAGCAAGCGGAGAAACCGGGCATGCTTCTATATGACACCGTGGAGAATATTTCGTAGACAAAAATGAATGCCTAAATTTATGAAAGAAAAACTAAACCACGCTAACATTGCTACGTGACAATCCGGTCTGACTTTGTCAGAGACCCTAAACTCAAATTTAAAAGTTCAAAGTTCAAACAAAAAATCCCAGCTTTAACAGAATCTCTGTCCAAACCCCCATACTAGGGAGGCACTTGAATAACTCCTCAATCCATGATTCTCCAGGACCTCCCTTAGAACCCTACTTTTCTGTTCCTACATTTTCGTCTCTCCCCATGTGCGCTTGCAAGTCACTACCAGAGATCCCTGCCTCTACTAAACAACCCCCCTCCCACCACCACAGCCACCGCCATCACGACACCCAAAAATATGACCAATAAGGTTGAGGGGAGGAGGGGCGGCGGCCTGCGGGCGTGGCGCGCATCTGGTGTTCGAAGGTTTAATCGGACGGCCAGCGTCGGTGTACTGTGGATGAACAGGATTCTGAGTAAGGGGATCGGATGGGAACTGTAGCTAACTCCACCACGATTAGAGATCTTTATAGATAGCACAAATTAACTTCTGCAACCCCAACAAATAACTTACTAGTCAAACAGTTTTCACTCTCATCAGGGTCTGTTCGGCAAAGCTCTAGAACAGTTTTCAAGCCGAATTCGAGAGTTCTGCCAAATTTTTTTTACTTAGAAATACTAAAATTAAATTAGAAGGCTAGGAGCTGAAAAAATAGTTTTCTTTTATCGTACATGGAGCTATTATACGCATAGATTTATCCTAGAGAATTACAGAGAAACATTTGTTATCAAGAAATTCTATCACCAGATGTAGCTGAGTTACCATCCATGTAGGATCGTTCAGAACAACAAATGGCGGCATGTTCGTACCAACGTTCGTAATAACAGATTGCCGATAGCATTTTCGTACAATCACCACATTGGTTCAATTTTTATATATACTGAAACTAATGACGGCACCAAGTTTTAGCTCCAAGCAACAATCTCGGTTCCCGGTTATTCGTTCCCAGTCGGTAATTGCACGATCAGCATGAGAATTGAGACAGATGAAGAATTCATGCGGCCTCCAAATTGTCTCGTCTCACTAGGTTACATCTTACAAGGTGAACTGCTCCAGAATTCTTCTGCCTTGTACATCAGCATCACCTCACTTCAGGAGCAAGCATTCTTTCTCGGCACTAGCCACAGGAAGGAGACAAACCTACTACCATCTACCAACCCACACCTAAACTACAACTCAAAACATAAACAGCAAACGTGCCAGTGAATCGTACTGGCGAGCCAGCCTACATGACACGGACGCAAGTGTGCATGGATGCTCGCAAAAGTCCAGTCTCATCTTCACAGGCATCGTGATGCGGTCAATGGTAGCTTCCTGCCCTCCCCAGCAATATATCCACAGCTGATGCAGGCAGCCAGTGTGAGAATTTACAAGCTCAGAAGTCCCACCGGTCAAGCTGCAGCCTAGCTTCGGCCATATCCTTCTGAGCCTTCCTTCGCCGATAGAAAATCGGACAATCCCGACTGCAGTGATTCGATTGTACAGGAGGAGGTTTTAAGATTGTGACTGGAACAAAGTAATGAGCAAGTGCTGAATTGAGTGGAAAACAGCAAACCTTGTACAGAGAACGTCCTGGTGCAGAGATCCTTGGCACTCCTGGCATTGTGTCCATAGCCTCCCAAAGAGCATCTCCAGGTCAGAAACTGCAAAAGTCAAAATTTGATCTGTCAGTGGTGAGCTCGAGGGCATAGTGCTTACAAACATAGATGCACTTCAGAGTGTACAGCACATACCATTTGCTACTGTTTTGCAGTATAACTCTGCTTCTCTTCCCTTGCAATGTGAGCAAAGTGTCTGACTGGCACCACTGCAGGTTCAAAATGCAGGAAAAACAGTTAAGGCGTTTAGACACTGGTTGCATAGGTTTTTGTATCTGCAGTGTTGTGCATGCATCACCTGATAACAGCTTTGCACCCAAGGCAAGTTAATTGTTTCTTTGCAAATTTCATTATCCCGCTATTTGAAGGAGTTGAGATTGAAACAGATCTGGTGTGGCTTCCATGAAGCAATTCTTTGCTGGCATTCTTCAGAATTGGCTCAAAGATCCTCAAAAGTGGCTGCCGATTGACAAGTGGTCAGTTACATATTTTTTTGGGAAAGCAGAGGGAAGCTCTGAATACCAGGTGAAGCATCAGACACAAACCTTGCTAATTTGGTTCTCAAGGTAGTATTGAGGATCAATGGGTATATTATTGTCCAAAACATAAATTGGATCTTCTGATTTCTCATATGCCTGCATGCAAAAAGACAAATGTATCAAACATGCAACCACCATATGACAAATAATACCGTAGCACATGATGCAGATGTTTATTTACCTTTGCCCCTTTTGCTGCTTTAATTATAACATAAGGAACACGATCACCAACAGTAGGTGCAGTAGCTGGATCTCTCTGCTCAAGAAAACCATAATTTTCAGCAGCAGTAAGACACCATATCATTAAGAATGGGTTGAATATCATCAAGATATGGTAATAACATCTAGGGTTCATACCTTTCGCATCCTCTCAGCAAGCTCCACATGAGCAGCTTTTACCGCATAATCTTCTCCCGTTTTTGTCAAACCCTGTGCATCTTAAACAGTAAAAAGAGTCGCAAGATAGAATAGAAAATTCATCTTAAGACAGCTGAATTTGCCCACCTTTGTTATGACAAGAAGAGACAAGTCGACACGATTCATTAATAGATCAGATATGGTGTTTTTGACATATTGGACTGCACCAGGAACATCACGGTCCACCAGTATTTTATGAAGGCACTCAGTTACCAGGTTCTTTACCAATAAACAGTTGTCCCTTCTCACAGTTTCAATACCTGCATGCAACAATACAAGACATTTGGAAGCAAGAATCGTTAACATGTCTGCTCCACCCAATGAAAATAATTTATATTTTACACAGCTAAAACAAAAATAAATACCTTTTGCATCCATTTTGTCAAATTTCTCAGGGTTCGTCCAGTACAAACCAGCATATCTCTTCTTGCTGATCAGAAGGTAAGGAAAATAGACCTTCTCAAACTCCAGCTTGATGGGCTGCAAGAAAGATATCATAAGCATCATGTGAGTTGGAACTTAGATGAAAAGCAAACGAAAGCTTAGCTAGAAACGTTACATATCATTTCAGAAAAATTGGCATCCAGGTCAGTTGACTTAAGTTATAAAAATATGCGCAACAGGAATATAACATGAAAAGATCAGATAACTCTTAGTGCTCATTTATAATATAATTGAAATAAAAGGCAGGAGCTCTGCCGCTCAATTAAGTAAGGATAAAGAAGTTTATGTACAGAAGGCACCCCCTGGCGCCAAACACTACGGTCCTAGGACCAGAACAGGACAAGCCTGTCACACCGCTAATGGTGTTTACCCATCAAAGGATACAGCCCTGCGTCTTTGCATGATATCCTCTTTTGTCAATGAGGCCACCTGCTGGACCGTTTTGTGTTCCTTTTCGAAGATCCTCCTATTCCTCTCCTTCCACAAGTTCCATACTGAGAGCGAATAGGTCTCGGGAATTGATTGATAGATTAGCAGCAGTACAGGGTACAATATATAGGCAAGGATCAATAGGGTTTATAGAAACACCCAATCAACGGTGATCCTTGCCTTATCAATGTAATCTATCTATCTTAACCCCTAAGGCAGCCAGCCTAACAGGCTAGGCGCCAGGCCCAAGGCCAGCCCATTAGGGCGCCTATTCTAACACATACAATGTAAATGAGGATTCCATTGAACCGCCTTCGATCCTGCTTTGGCGCCTTGCTTGCTGCCTCCTCCCACCATTTGGCAATGCCTGTGGGGTCTTGCTGTGGGAGTTAGACACTGCAGTTTTCCCAGGACAGCACTTGGTCCCAAACGGCTCTTGTGAATGGGCATAGTAAAGAGAGGTGCACCATTTATAAGATAAATCAAGGAACTACCTAGGGCATCACAAAAATTACAGTTAGAAAAGGTAGTTGCTTTGTAATACAATAAAAGTTATGGGTAGTGTTTTGTTCTTCTAAAAGGAGTGTGGACAAATTTTTCACTCTATTTTGATCACACTGTTTGAAATTTCCTATATTTGGCCAGATAGGAAGAAAAGTACAGACAGACAGATTAGAACAGATAGCTTACCAGGTAAGAATTGGAGTTAATAAAGCTAGAAACTACTACAAGAGGCAGTAACCTTGCAGTTAGATGTTTAAGGGTTCAGGGTTTTTTTCCTTATAAAAAGGAGCATTCTCATAACAGGTTTCACTGTTCCAAATAAGTTTCAGTGAGGTCATGATTGAAGCTTGATCGCAAAAAGGTCATGAATGTAGTATCAATTACGACGATTCTACAATGAGGACAGACAAGCCAATGTTCAACTCAAATGCTGTATAACTCAGTTCCAAAGCCTCATGTTTGTAAGTGTTTCTCTGTTCACCTTGGTAAAGGTTCCACTAATATAATCTGCAGCTTCTCTTCCTAACTTCATTGCATCTTCAACCTTAGAAACACCAAACTGTACCATCACAGAATCAGTGTCCCCGTAAATTACCTGCGAAGTCACCAAATTTGCTGTATCAGTATCAGAAAATGAGTGAAAGGCATCTTCAAACCCAAAAAATAAGCAAACAAGAAAGCTTGCTGATGAAAAACTGATTACAGTGCTAATAACTAGACTTCCAAGAAATTGAACATGGGAGGGCAAGATATCATGTGAATAAGGTCTTGAGGTCCTTGAGTGCACGGTGAAGCTCTAATTCAGTGTCACTATGCTGATGTCTAGCTAATGGAATCAAATTTACGTGTGCCCAATGTATAGTGTCAATTTTTAGATGGTGGTTTGCATGGGTTGAACCTTTTATATATGTATTGAGTTGCTTTTCAATTGATGTCCCTAGAACATCAGATATCATAGGGCTGCAATACTCATAGATCAATCATGAAGATACAAGGTATCACATTGTACAAGGGCAAAAGCTGAAGTCTTGAACTCTGTGAGATCAAGCAGAAAAAATTAACAGGGAATCTAACATATTTGTATAAGAATAATGCAACACTACTTTACCTCAGCATTATGCTCATAACCTCCTACTGTTGTGAATTTATCTTCAACAAGCTTTTTTGTATGTTCAATCATTTGTCGTCCTGTGTGACCAAAATGCTTCAGTGCAAGAAACTCGACATCGAAATTGCTAGCAAACCATACAATGAATTTCTTAATTATGTTGAGTGAAACTAAGGCTTACCATAGCTGGTCACACTTGAAGAAATCTCTAAGCAAGGTAACTGACCAACAGTTGCTCCAGTGAAACCATAAACTGAGTTTGCACTTATCTGAAACATAAGCAATTCAACAATGTCATTATTCAAGTAGCTCAAATTTGAATCGATGTTTTGATGGAATAAAGGGTGAAAAGATATGGAAGTACTTTCAGTGCAAGCTGACGACCATCAAGAACAGCCCTTTCAAGTGGGTCCTTTGCTTCCTGAACAAATAATTGGCGATTTTAACATGGGACAAAGACTTAGCACTGCATGAATATCTAGCTTTTGCACGAGTGGAAGATCTTTAATACTGCCTCCGTTCTAAATTATAGGTCATTTTGGATTTTCTAGGTACACAGCTAGCTATGCACCTAGATATACGCTATCTCTAGACACATAGTAAAAAACTATGTATCTAGAAAAGCCAAGAGGACTTACAATTTGTCTAGAAAAGCCAAAACGACTTACAATTTAGAATGGAGGGAGTACAATTTTCTTACAGATGCATTGAGAAAAATACCTTTAAATCTGCTTTTGCCCTTTTCCGAGCTGCTAATAATTCTTCAAGGATCTCAGGAAGTATACCCTGATATTGTTTTCATAATCTTGGTTAGAAAACACATCTTCTGTCCAGAACACCTATTATCAAGACAGGATGCAATTACCTTCTGTAGTTCTGGTTTCACAAATATTTCACCAGATGGGGTTTTATTGAGGCTTTCCGGAGGTAAGTTGAGTTTACGGGCGTCCTCAGGGGGCACCTTCAAAATTAAATAAAACCTAGTAAATTGTCATCCATTTTAGAGACCAAAGGTCCTTTTTAGAGCATGCAGCAATAATTATAGCTATATAAGCACCAGGAAAATTACCAAGGTACAGTAGCAAAGGTTATATGCCATCATGATGGATGGATACAGAGAAGCAAAGTCCAAAGTTGCGATGGGCTTCTCATAAAATCCAGCCCTTGCCTCCAAAACCTAAAAATTGCAGGGGACATAGATTACAGCAAATCCTTATAGTACAAAGGAAATAAAACTAAATTGTTCATTGCATGATCAATTCAGAAGGTGGTGGGGAAATTGATGAAAATTTCTTGCTTCCCAGATGGAAAGATTGATGGCATACACAAAAGCATGTTTCTAGAGTGGAAAACCCTGCATATGTATTTCACTTCCAAAGGCATCAAGAACAAATTTGCAATAAGTATGGATATCTTAACTCGTCATCTAGATTTTTTTTTAGCTTGGAATGACAAATATCTATACCCTCATTTCAAGGCAAGCAATGCAAAGATAGTTTCAGTGTACAGAGCAAACTAAAAAGTTTGCAATAGACAAATAGAAATATCCTAATAACTGCAATAGCTGTGGACAGGAAATGACAAATGGGCTACAAGTGTGCAGATATTGTCCTTCCACTTACAGTTGCACCCTCAAAGGTATCTTGCCCTGACCCTTGACCCTTGATATTTGGTATAACAAGGTTTTTCTGTTTTGCTTTCCTGAGTAGTTGAGAGAGGACCTGTGGTACAAATGAAACTATTTTTAGGGTACTAGAATGTGATACTTTCAATAGCATCATTGGCTTGTTCTCACCTTAATACTTTGTCCCCTCGAAAGTAGAAACGAAATGGGAACACCAGTGACCCTTGCCATTTCCACATAGTTGTAGATATACATCAATTTATCTAACAGTCTTTGAGGAAGATAAGCATCCTGTTTTTACAGAGGCAAAAGTCAAAACTGGTTCATGTAGGCTCCAAGAAAAATGCTACAAATCAGCTTACACATTTTTCTCGTGAGAGAGAAATCAGCTGATACAGTGAAATCAATAATGGCACTGTTTCATGCTAGCTTGTAAATAGCTATTGGCAAACTGCTGGCCAGTAGGAAATTGAAAAGAACACACACAAATATACTGTAACTATTTTCCAAAGCCCTAGTGTTGCTGAGAAATTTCCAAAATGCAAAATTGGTGCTCAAACATTGACATTGTACTTGGTAATGTTAAAAGTGATGTGTAGAGCAATATAAGTATTTATTTATTTGGAAAAATTGGTCCAAATGCTTCTGGGGCGCCACTTAAAAGCTCCATCAGCAATAATAACAAAGTGGCCACAACTTACCAACATACTCTTTGTAAAACATCACCAGTTCAGTAACAATTAAAACAAAAGGGTGTATTTAGTTGACCTTTAAGCAATAAACTGCAAGCCGCCTTCGTGTCTCTGAGTTTCCATTTTGAAGATCAGATATAATTGAATGATGAACATCTTCTTTCTACTCAAAAAGTCAATAATTAGGAAAGAAAAGGAAAGGGTTCTCAAGTGAAGGAAAGAATATTAGAATCAATCATTGTTAGTAAATAGTAGCAAAAATCATATGGATACCAAAAAAATCCATCTACATAGGTAATTTTGCAAAGAACACCAATTTTCTAGAAGACTGAAGACATGCCATGCAATCAGAAATATAGAGTCAACACCACCAACAGCAACAATAAGAAAGACAGCAAAGTCTTTTATCCCAAGCCAAAACTAACACTGATCAAACACAAAAAAATACTTCCGACAGAAAGGCATCAAAATGATTACGAGTACAATGACTGAAAGCAACATAGAGCACTTGAAATGTTTGAACTTACTTGCTCCCCAAGAAAGTGTGCCGATACAGAGTTCAATGAATAAGAACTCAGCTTGTAATCCCGTTGCATAGCCTGCATCATATCCAGTTAGTGAAGATAAAGAAACATATGAAATAATCTCATGAAAACAGCAAACACTGATTTAATTGCCAAGCAAAAGTAGATCACAACCTGCAGGAGATCAAATTGCACTCTTCCTTCAATAGTAACATCCTTACTTTCACGCACACCATATTGCCTGGATAAGTACAACGACCTCATCAGTATTTTCTTTTTACGTAAAAACAACTTGAAAAATCTTTCATTTTCATTTCTATTTTTACATGATGACTTTCATTTCCAATTGTAACTTGCAAGTCGAGAAAGTCCAAAGCATTAACATTCATTAAATAAGTGACAAAAATGGAAGGAATTGAGACATGTAAACTGTAAAGAGTTGGGAACTGAGGATTGTGAAAACCCTGGACATGACGTAGAACCAGCGGAGCCTAAAGCTCTCTATGGATCACAAATTTCAAACATGTTTGTGCTAAGAGACAGAAATACAGTGGTATCATGATGCAGGAAATATGACTAACCATAGAAACTGTGAATTAAATGTATGAAATATGAACACACTACAGCTCATTATAGGGTACCATAACTTCTAAAAAAATAAGCGACTTCTCTCCTGTAAGACAAATGAACAAGATTTGTATGGCAGCTAACTCAGAATCAGAATAATAGATGCATCGCTAGAATCAAATAAAGCACAAAAATGAAAACATGAGATGCACATGCAAGCAGACAATAAAACTAAGCAGCATAGTGCTCCAATGATATGCTAGCACCCCCCACCCCACACACACACCCCACCCGACACACACAAAGGAAATTGTATAAATATGTGAATATAAAGGGACTACAGAATATATAACAAATATTTTATTGAGTAAGACAATTGGATGATAAAGGCAAAGTAATATATATTAAATGCATAGACGAGAGGTACAAGAAGTGACCTCGAAGAAAAGGTCGTATCACGGACACGAACGCGACTATTTCTGATTCGGCCAAGTATTGGAAACTCCGCTATCTTGAGAACCTCAGCCCTCTGCAAATGTGTAATCAAATTGTACTAAATATGGCTGATTGTCAAGTTGAGAATCTGAATACTCTACAGACGTTATTGAACCTCAATAAGATAGGGCATGTCAAATTTGCAAATATTGTATCCAATTATGATATCCGGATCCACTTCACGTATGAAATCCTGCAAATTATTTCCAAATAACAATCAGATTATCTTTCAGTAAGTCCTTTGTCTACAATCAGAAACTGTATTTAACTTCTCTCCTTTTGAGAAATAAGTGTGATTTAACTTTTTTCTTTTGATGGACAATGATATTTAGTTTTAGCAAAAAAAAATGTTAACCGCATATGGCAAGTGAAAAGGTAACCAAATACAAAATGTAGATACAAAAGGCAAAGAGAATGAAACCAACACAGGGACATGAAGAAAACATCATGGATAAAGGCACTATAAATTCGTTTTCAGAAAATATAAAGGCATCACGTTCAACTGAATTTGACAGCTCCAAAGACAGCAGCACTTACCCTCCATGCAAGTAGAATGTCTCTCTCTGTATCAAATGACATAACATCGACTCCCACAATGGGAGAGCATGATTTAAGAGTCATGACATTCCGTACAAAAGGTTGGCCTTCTCCTTGATGTGTAACCAAGTTAGCTATCTATTTAAATGCAAAGGGGTAAGTCAATAAATTGTAAACATAAAGACCTGTATTCAAACTAAATGGTACCAAGTATCAGATACATGAATAATGAACTCAACCTGAATAACAGGATCATGAGTTGGTTCTGGGAAATGACCTTTGCGACCAGCACATTCAATATCAAAACTTAATATGCGAAACGGGGCCATCTTAGAATATTCTCCTTCAGCAGCATGGCTTACCAGATCTGAGTATCTGTTAGTTGTGTTAAGAATAGACATAACTGAACAACATTACAGTTTAGTAAATAGATGAAGCATTCAATTAAGTATAGAAGGATACAGGCAATCTAGCTCTAGCTGACAATAGGACATGACACGGGCTGCTTTCCTGTATTTCCCAGCAGGAAGTTCAATCCAGTTGCCACCAACAATATTGCAATCAATCATGAATCGAAGGGCAAAAAGAATGTTGCTTTCATATGTAAGGAAACTCTTTGAACCAAGGCCTTCAATTGTTATGCCCCTTTCCAGAATACCTATAATGTGCAAACATATGCCATTTAAGCCAGCAAAGAGGGGAAAAAAGCGACTAGTAACTTGGATGATCAGAGGAATAAAGTAAAGATCATAACATTGCATGATAATACATTGACATATAACAAAAAAATGTTCTGTAGGTTATCCATTAAATAAAGAAAAGATAGTAAGGTCAATCTACAAGACATAGCAATAATAGCTGTATTGTGTCTTAAGGGTGCCACTAACCACGACAGCTAGCAACCATGGTAGGCAAAGCTACTACTATCTTGAGGAAAGGCTGAGATTGCTGTGTTTGGTAATGCATAATTGTCTGCTTCTGCACAAGCTCAACTCTCTTCACGAATCTTGGAACATTGCTGCTTCTATTTGACTCCTTCATCCTCCCCTGTAGTACAGTTTGAAGAAACCATAAGGAAACTATGTACTGCCAAAGTACTATGTTTCCTTAGAAGCTCAGTTAGGTATGATTGTAAGTACAAACCTCTAGTGTTTGGTGAAAGCGCGATATATCATCAGGACCCATCCCTGAAGGACAGCCAATATAGAAATATGGCTCAAATCCATGCACCTGACAGCATATGCTGTGACCTACAAATGTTACAGGGATAGCATCAGAGGTCAGCAAAAACCATATGGCACTAATAATTCTTTACTGAGAGATAATAGACTCGAGATATTACCTTCTCTTGTAACACCAAAAATCCTTAGTATGGCTGCCGAACCAGATGAGTTGGGGAGCAATTCTTTGTGGCTCTCACCAATAACATAATCTATTTCCAACTGCTGAAAAGCTAGAATATCCAATACAAACAGAAGAGTAGCAAATGTAAGATGAAGCCAAATATTCTGAATATATGTTCATACAAGTTCAAATTAAAACAAAACTAGGTGACTATCTATTTAATTAGCAAGAAACATTGAATCTGAATGAGCATTGAGCATGTACAAGAGGACTGTTAAGCAAGTCCTGACTCCTGAGTTCAAACTTTTAAAGCTCATAACTCATAAGTGCAAAAGTGTATAAATATATATAAATATAAATGTGCGTTCGATAGAAAATAGGTTCACTTCATAAATTAATTCAGAAAAACCAACATTTGGAAAACTGCTTAGTGATTTTACGATCTTCTCTATCATGATTGATTATAATATCCATCTCAGATTGGCAGGTGATACAAGCAGAATTTTGAACTAGGACTATGAAATTTTAGAGGTCTATGAGATAATTCTAGGAAGTAGGAAGGTGGGAGTGCCCATCTTAAAAAGTTAAAACCCTTAACCCTTGATTGGAAATTTACATCTATGATTCATCAATTGCAGCTAGTTGCATCACTCATAATTAGAAAAACAGTACAGTTTTAAAGCGCACCAGATACTGAAAAGGTGCCTTTCTTCCTGTCCTAAACAACCCAGGGATCCAAAAAAATGGCGAACAATAAACTTTACTAGCCAACCTGATATACAAACGCACATACTAGTCCAAAATAATAGTTGCTCGTTTTTTGCCCAAAATTTCACCAAAGGACCATGGTCCAAATTTCCTGAACACTACAAATCCCAAGAGAAACCACATATGTGCACAAAATTTTGCCGAGCCCCAGACCGCATTAAGGCAACTTGACTAACACAGCATTTTACCAAAAATATGAGAACCCTATCCAAATGACAGTTGGTTATCAGCAATTCATTCTCAATCCGCCAAAGCAGTACTGAATCCAAACCCCCAACGCACTCCCCACGCAGCCTGCCAGACCCCAACCAAGCCATCTCGGGACACTGAATCCATTAAGACCCGGATCAGGAGAGTGAGCGCCGGAGAGAAAAGGGGGACCGGATCGTACCGACGGCGCGGGAGCACCCGGCGGCGAGGTCGGCGGGGAGTGCGGGGCGCTTCCACCGCGCGAGGAGGGACGCGAAGGCCTCGTCGCGCTGGAGCATCAGCAGCGCCGCCTCGTCCTCCGCCAGGATGGACTCATCCAGGAACACGTCCTCGTCCATCATGTCCTCCTCCTCCGCGGCGGCCGCGCCCGCCGCGGGAGGAGGCGGCTGCAGCGTGCCGGGGCTGGGGTTGGCCCTCTTCGCCGCCGCCCCGGAGGGAGCGGGGGGTGGGGGACCCCGCCGCTTGCCGCCACGTCCGCCTGAGCTCATCGCCGGATTGGGGGATGGGAGGGGGAGGGAGAGGGAGAGGGGGAGGCGGGAAGTATGGGACTGAAATTGGGGTTCCCGCCATTGCTGGGGAGGTAGGTAGGGTTTAATACGGGAGGGAGTCGAGCATATAAGAAATACGCCTCCCATATAATGGTTGCGTCAATTGTACAGACAACTTTTTGGTCGTATTTGCAAGTTCAAAAAACAAAACTTGGTCGTATTTCATGGGCATCTTGCGGGTGTTTGTTTCATCAAAGTTATAGTGGGACAGTACCAGGGATGGAACCGACTCTATTTCGTGTTAGGTTGAAGAAGATACGGTTTATGTTTTTTTTCTTTTGAGAGCAAAAGATTTGGCATGGCAAATCTGACATGTAGGGTCTACCTATCAACCTCTTTTCCTGATTTTTGGGATCGCAATGGTTCATGGGCCCATTCATCCCACCTCGTCTCTTATTGTTCCCTCATTTCAGGGGACGGGAGGATCCCTAGAGGGATATCTCTCATCCCACTCGACTCTGTACCAAAACCTAGACCGCCCCTTCTCATCCCTCGTGGTCTCATGAACCAAACACACAATAAAATCTTTGCTTTAATTCTGACTATCTCCTATAGTACTAGTCTTATGTCCCCAATAGCTCTTCTATCTTTAATGTCCACCAACGTCTTCATCGTCTTTCCTTAAACAAACAGAAGTTGTATCTCCAACAATAGGTTAGACTCATCCCAACCATTACTCATCGGACATTCTTCTTCCACATTACCGGCAATATTGGAGAGTGAGGAGGTGAAGGAGGGGGAGCGACTGAAGGGCTGCTTCGCAGTAAAGATATTGAAGCAAGTGTGTGGACGCTTGAGTGCCGACAGCACACCCTCGCGGCCTCGCTTTGTCGAACTAGAGTATTGCCTCATATGCGAAGTGTGCTAGGATCTACGTCTTCCACTCCCGACAAAAGTCCTTGAGTGACGACCCCAATGGTGATGGTCCATCACCATCAAGAGGAGCCTAGGATAGCATCTATCCAATAATCTAAAAAGATGTATTTCGGTTGCCCCATTACCAATTTAGTGTATGTTCGTTTGGTCCCAAAACCAAGGGAACTCGAGGGGATTAAATCCCCTATAAGTCAAAATCTCTCTTAAGCCCCCTCAAATCTCTTTGATTTTGAAATCAAATGAACAAGGCATTATTTGGGGAGTTTTAATGGGGAGCTGTTGGAGATGCTTTTAGTTAAGCCACTGATAAAAAAAATACGCACGTAAAATATAAATCCTATTTTGAATCTTAATATGTGAATTTGGCGTTGGGGCTTTCCATGACATATTATTATTGTCACTATATTTCATACTCTTTCCATTTATTTTTACAAGGCTTATTAAATTTTGGAGAAGTGTACTCCGACCATCGATTATTTTATTGTTGCAAGCATAATCAATATATGAAATTTGAGAATGGCCGGTTAGAATTTATGAAATTTGCGCCCTTTTAATCATAATATAACCTATAGTTGAAGTGGAGAGAGTATTTTTTTTACCTTCTTCCAGTTTTATTTAATGAGGTGACATGAACAAATGGGTCAAGCGGGCTGGACTCATACTTGTTTCAGCACTGCTAGCGTCCCGTCTGGACGCCCGCGGCTGCCGTTTTCGCGCATCCACACGTGGGCCCGTCGTCGCCCGGACGTTGCTCGACCGCGCCTGCGTAACCCGTGCCTATGCGGGGCCCACGCGGGGACCGCTCGTGTCCCCTCCCACTTCCCACGCGCATCTCATGTGCAACATCTGATGTACTTTTGAAACATCCATTTGCAATACTTGCAACATACAAAATAGGCAGATGAAACACTTGAAACATGCGTCTGAAATATCTAAGAAAACACTTGAAAAATATTGCAAACATACGCAACATCTAGATAAAACACTTGCAACATATGTGTGAAACATACACTTGCAACATATGTCTGGAAACAGATGAAACATTAGGGACAGACGCTTGCAACGTACGTGTGCAACTATTGCAACATATGCAATATCCCGATTTAAAGCCTGTTCGCTTGCTCGTAAACGATCGTAAATTTCCAGCCGGGAACAGTGTTTTTCTCTCACACCAAACCATCCAGCAGTAAATAATCCACGATACGATACGGCCTCCCGAACAGGCTGTTATTTTTATAACATTCGTACGAAACACTTGCAACATACATCTAAACACATCTGAAATATTTAAGATGTACGCTTAAAACATGCATCGGGTATGCCAGTGCGGCCTCCTCCGCCGTTTGCATCGGGGCGCCGCACACTACACCATGACCCGCTTTCCTCTAGACTTACGTGTTGGTAAATCTAGGTTTTTGACAACACGTTGTGTGTTGGCAATTGTATAATCTTTTAGGGTCACACAAATTGTCGTCAAAAGTACCATAAGGCTACACTCTAAATGTCGGTGTTTCTTCTTCCATCCAAAAAAGTGTCGGTGAAAGTTTTTAGACAAAACAAGTGTTTTTATAGCCTAAACAAATCACCGTCCAACTGTACCAGGAGGCGAGGCCGGAGAGCTACGGCTCCAAGGCCTGGAGCTTCTCCTTGCGCGGGTGGCACACCTGAGTATTTCCGTACTCGTTTAGCTTCTTTGGCCCATGGAGGTGTGCAAAGTGAGCAGGAAAGCCAGAAAAGGTATAGGCCTCTGCCGGCCCATGGAGGTGTGCAAAGTGAGCAGGAAAGCCAGAAAAGGTATAGGCCTCTGCCGACATTTAGCCTGTTCGCTTGCTCGTAAACGATCGTAAATTTCCAGCCGAGAACAGTGTTTTTCTCTCACACCAAACCAGCCAGCAGTAAATAATCCACGATACGATACGGCCTCCCGAACAGGCTGATTCTTCGTCTCCAAAATTGACCGTTGTGTGTTTTGCTTTGTGTCGCTGAACTCCTGAAAATCTCTATGTTCCAGAAACAGCTAGCACTGCATACCTCTTTGTTCCATAAACTGAACCTGCGATCCGTCTCGGTGGCATCGCTGCCTAGTCTTCGGGTTTGCAAGAGCGCGCATGCAGGAAGGACGTTTTAATTTATTATATTAGGAAGTCTGATATGTTAGAGCCAAGCCACAGTGTTCACTCCCATGGTATCACTGCTGGAAACGCGTGCTTTGCCGAGGGCCTGAAGATTTGCCGAGGACCAAATCTCGGGCACTCAGCAAAGACACTCTTTGCCGAGGGCCAGACACAAGAGCCCTCGGCAAAGAACGGCCCTCGACAAGGAGGCCTTTGCCAAGGGTACGGCCCTCGACAAAGACAGGTCATCGGCAAATCAAATCTTTGCCGAGGGCCGAGGCCCTCGGCAAAGATGTCCTCGGCAAATTAGGCCCGTTGGGTCACGGCGGCCATTTCCCGTCGAGCTTTGCCGAGGGCCACCCGTTAGGCCCTCGGCAAAGGTTTTTTTTTCCTGTGCAACCAGGTTATTCGGTAATTTTTTTTAAGTCTTTGCCGAGGACCTAGACCAGGCCCTCGGCAAATATTTTTTAAAACCAGTTTTTCGGCCAAATTTTTTTTATAAATCGCCTTTGCCGAGGGCCCGAGGCTAGGCCCTCGACAAAGAAGCCCTTTGCCGAGGGCCAGGATAGGCCCTCGGCAAAGATTTTTTATTTTTTTTTTAAATTCTTTGCCGAGGGCCCAGATCCACGGTCCTCGGCAAAGATTTTTTATTTTTTTTTTTAAAATTCTTTGCCGAGGGCCCAAATCCACGGCCCTCGGCAAAGATTTTTTATTTTTTTAAAAAAAATTCTTTGCCGAGGACCACGGGGTAGGCCCTCGGCAAAGAGCCCTCGGCAATTTTTTTTTGGTTTTTTAGCCCAGTTTTTTTGTGCTACTACAATACATTGTTTTGAACTCAATTTTAAAATTTAGGCCAATTTTGATTTTGTTTTGTATATTTCCTTAATTTATTTCGATTCTTTGATTTTTTTTCGAATATGTCAAATTTGAACTGCAGGTGCATAGAATATTGCAATGTAGTATTTCGAAAAATGTTATTCATGTTAATTGGTGCATGTTGAGTCCCTATCCACGACCCCGCATCAAATTTTCACGCATCTTGTTCGCGTAACATGATGACCGACTTGCCGGAAAAGTGTTTTAAAATTATATAAAATCCATACGAAGTCTGTGGAGATGTCTGGGTTTCAGGCATCCGACGTCACAACTCGCTCGAATACTTCTCAATTTTTTACCACAGCCTACACATGTGATAACATGACATCTCGCCAAGTTTCGTGATTTTCGGACTTCGAATGGATTTTATATAATTTTAAAACACTTTTCCAAGCAAATCATGTTACGCATTAACAAGATGCGTGAAAATTTGATGCGGGTCGTGGATAGGGACTCAACATGCACCAATTAACATGAATAATATTTTTCAAACACTACATTGCAATATTCCATGCACCTGCTAGCTCAAATTTGACATATTCAAAAAAATCAAAGAATCGAAATAAATTAAGGAAATATACAAAACAAAATCAAAATTGGCCTAAATTTTAAAATTGAGTTCAAAACAATGTATTGTAGCAAAGACAAAAAAACTGGGCTAAAAAAAAAAAAAATGTTGAGGGCTTTTGCCGAGGGCTGCCCATGGCCCTCAAGAAAGAATTTAAAAAAAAAAAAAATCTTTACCGAGGGCCGTGGATCTGGGCCTCGGCAAAGAATTTTAAAAAATAAAATCTTTTGCCGAGGGCCGTGGATCCGGGCCCTCGACAAAGAATTAAAAAATAAAATAAAATCTTTGCCGAGGGTCGTGGATGTGGGCCCCTCGGCAGCATCGAACCCTAAATCGGGCCGCAGCCCAAATTTCGATTGAAATTGTGAAAAAAACGGTCGACCTCTCCCTCCCCCCCGCCATTGCCGCCGCGCTTGCCCACCGCCCCTGGCTGCATTGCCATTACCGTGTCATGCAAGGCCGGCCGCCTAAGTCTTTGGCCGCCACAAGGCCATTTTCAGACGCCA